AAGCAAGGACAAAGTTAATTTAATTTTTCAGAAACTGCTTGGAAAATGTAAGTGAGGGCTCAAAATTTGGAGACTTTTTTAATTAATATTATTAATATTTATGGGAAAATGTGCAAAAACCCAGACCGGGAATCTCTACTTTCTGAATAAACCCCCCTCCTCCTCCTGCCACCGCTTTGAAATTCCTGCAATTTTTTACCTTTTTCTGTTTGTTTTTTTTGGATTTTAATAATTTGGGATTTTTCAGAGTAAGCGCACGTAGTTACCAAAAAGTTAATTGTAAAAAAAAAAAAAAGAGGACCTCACGCGAGTTTCTTTTAACTTCTGTGTCAGAGAGACTCGCAGCGTCGACGCGCATCCCAAGGTCTGCTCCGTAAGTTTACTGCTGGTTTTGGATTCCCAGTTTGAATCTTGACCGTTGAAAGCACGGTGTGGAATATGTGATCACAACAATGAAATAAGAAGACACGATGTACATAACACGACACGGTGTCGTTTGGAGAATGGATCCGTGTGTGGAGACTGGAGAGAATGGATCCGTGTGTGGAGACTGGAGACACGGTGTCATTTGACAAATTTAACATTTAATTTAACAAATCTATCATTTGACTAAGAAAAAGAATAGATTCATATGACATCCTATCATCAAATTATATATTTTTCTTAAATGAAATCTCTTTATCTTTCTTGTGAATGCTAATTTCTTTTTACTACACATATGCACACAGAAAACAAGGTTGGCTTCGTGCACGCCAAAATGACGCGGGCTTTGTGAACACAAAAATAGCGGGCTTTTGGCACACAAAACAATGCGAACATCATGCATACAAAATGAAGCGAACTCCTGGGTGCTAAGAAAACGAGTCGGGCTCCACGCACGGAAAAATATATTTTGAAGAACATAAATATGATAGTTTGTTGTAGTGGCAAGAGAAATAAAACAAACATTAACAAAATTGTACAAAAATGATTCAAATTCTTTAGGACTTTCTGGCACCCTCAAGAATTTGAATCATTTTTGTACATTTTGTTAATTTACTTTTATTCTTCTCACCATTACAACAAACTATCATATTTATGCTCTTCAAAATATATTTTCCGTGAAAAATCTATTATAATTCATATTTTAACACTTGTAGTCAACGATTTGATTAGAATTTAGAAAATTACTAGCTACTCATGCTGTCGGAAAATTTAGTACAAATATGAAAAAGTTGTAGTACAAACTTGTATAGTTAATCGGTCAAAAAAAAAAAAACACTTGTATAGTTAAAGAAAGTAACTAAATATAGGTGATTTGGCTTATTAATATTTTTTTTGTCAAACGATAAATTTGATTAGATTAGATGTTAGATTAGCTACCGACAATGTTAGAACCCACAACATCATGCAAGGGCACAACTCTACCGAATTAAAATATAAACTGATACTAACAACTACCAAATTTGAATTATATTATTGATAACTCATTGTGATACTAAGCCTACCCATTCTTCTTTAGTGTAGATAATATCATTTGTTAAAAAAAAAAAACAACCAAGGTCAATCTGGATTGAGTGAATTAGGTTTTTAGGCATTGGTTTCGGTTTTAGTGAGGAAAAAACAAGAAAAAAAAAAACTATTTTTGGAGTTGCTGATTTAAACGTAAGGTAACTTAGTATCAAAAGTGGGTTGTTATTTATATTATCTTAACTGATTTCGTGTTTATGTGTGAAGCATATGACTATCTGTGTCTCTTGACGATGTTAAAGTGTGCACGAGATCAATAATTGAGGTGATACAAATAGTTTTGTTCACTACGAAGCATTAAATCCGAGTGTTTGTCTAAATACTTCAAATTTTAAACAACAGTTCAATTACATATTCTCAAATTTAGATCGAACATTTCTTTTTAACCAATTTGTTATATTGAATGAAATTAATCCTTAGCCAAATTATATACTGGTTTTTAAAAAACAAACGTGATATTTTGAACTAAAAGGGAATTTGAACTCAAGTATAAAAGAGCGAGTACGTTTGACAGATGGCGTAATCCACATCCACTTCCACCTACTGAAATGAGTGAAATTGTACTTTGAGTCAAGTTTTTTGTAAAATATTTCATTACACTCATCTCACTTGATCCGATTTAACCTATATCGGTAGGCAACTTCCCTTCTAGTGAACTCTAAGGCAAGGCAATGAGGAAAATCAAACTTAATAGAACGAAGGCCTTATTGTTTTAGAAACTGTAAAGTGTAGAATGTAACTAGAAGAGCAGTCAAAATGAATGCATGATCACGTGAAGAATCTATCTGAATAGTTGAGTTGGTAATATGTACGTGCTTAAAAGGGACAAGAAATGAGTACAATATTAAAAAGAAAAAGAGAGATGCAAGCAAACACAAAACCCTGAAATTTTAATATTAATTGGGAGAGTTTGCATGGAGCCAAGATCGTGAAAACGATATAAAAATTGAATGAGAAGTGTAGGGGACCGTTTTTCACATGGCAAATGTATGATCCCACTTGTCCCCTCTTAGGATCCTCCGATCACCTTGTAATATATATTGCTATATATACTACATGAAAATAGTGACAATACCATCATCAAATCTTTGCTACCATATTAAATTCTATATGTTATAGTCCCCCTTGTTTCTTCTTGCTGTTTTCACATATGCCCGCAAGTAATTAATAGTTCTCACGGCATTATATTAATTAGGGGTGGTGCTATTCACACTATTTTTTACTTCTCACACACTTCTTTTAATTTTCAGCTGTTGGTTCGAATGAACTAAAGAATATCAAATGATAGAAATTAACAAGGAGTATGGAAAAAGTAAAAATGGACGCGTGGATAGCACCACCCTATAGTACAAACCCATAAGATACGTAAGGGAGAGTAAAGTGCTTAAATCTTGCAAATGCAATAATGGGAGTGAAAATTATTGGCACTTGTAATATAAAACCTAGTTCATTTGCGCTCACCGCTTGTATTCTTTCTCTCAACTGAATTAGTGTACTTTGATTTTAAAAAATTGAATTAGACTACTCGACTAAAGGACACAGTTGTAAGTGATTAATAAGTCTTTCTCACTCCTCAAGTAACAAATCATGTGAGATGCGAGAAAGACACATTTAAGTAATAATATATGAAACCTAGTTCATTTGCTATAATCTTTACATGCACTCCTCCAAAAGAGTGGAAGCTTATGAAAAGAGTGTAAATAGTTTAATTGTTGCCACTTGCAACTATAAGAATGGACAATAGCATGTTTGAATTCAAACTACATGCATGGTCAAATGACAAGTGTCTGAGTTACAGTCTGTTTAGCTTGGTGGGTTCTTGTCTGTGACAATAAACAACTAGTAGTTATATGTTTTTTTTTTTCGGATAACACTAGCAATTTCAAGTAGTTATATGTTTTGGCAGACATTAGTGGTCCTATTTTCGAATACAAGATGGTACAGCTTTTTCTAATCAAATATCATAAACCGTTTGGACGAAGGGGGAGACATAGCACATAGAAGAAAATAAATATCGAACCCTCAACCCTGTAATTTTGGATGGAGTTGAGATAACAAATAAATAATAGGAAAACTAATAAAAAAAAGTTTGAGAACTTTGAGTTTTAACGATAATAACCAAATAAAGGATAAAATGAATAGTATTATGATTAATTTTTTAATGTAAAAATATAATTTTTACCGAAAACTTTTCGTTGAAATTCCCATAAATAATATCTGAAATGCAGAGACGTTAATGCACTTCTACACAGTACATTGGAGTGAATAAAGAGAGTCAGAATAGCTCCATATTGTTGACCAAAAAATAAAAAGAATAGCTCCGTAAATTTGAAATTCCAATTTGCTGTTGGGTTTTATTTTATCTAAAGAGAAATTTCATCCGTGCACGAGTTCATCATGATTCTTTGTTGTTAATGCACTAGAATAGCTCCATATTGTTGACCAAAAAATAAAAAGAATAGCCCCGTAAATTTGAAATTCCAATTTGCTGTTGGGTTTTATCTAAAGAGAAATTTCATCCATGCAGGAGTTCAACATGATTCTTTGTTGTTAATGCAATAGAGGCTTTACATGTTTAAACGACTGACATTGTATCAACGGCTAAAAATCGTGCATTTATGAAATGTTGTCCCTAACACATATTTTTTTTTTTTTTGAAATTGATAGTCGATATGCTATGAATTATCATCGTGGGCACTAATTAACCATTTACTAGAGATGTACGTATGACCCCATATCCTAGAGTTGAACCATGACAAGTTTGATGAAATCTAGCTAGAGTATGTGTATGATATATGAACTAGGATTCTCTCCCCTCTTCTTTTCATCCCCTTTCATCCCTTTATCTTACATTCTCTTATTTTATCTTTATCTTGCTATAAAAAATTGATATAAGATGTTGACGTAGCTTAACCATGACCGTTCAAATAGGAGGGGAATGAATTTGATCCTCTCTTGAGCAGGAGATGAGGATCATTCTGACCCAATAACACAGATCGTTGGATTTTGATCAAATGATTACAATTATTATAACTTTTAGAAATGTTCTCTATTTGTAGCATCCAACGATCCTTGTTATTGGGTTAGGAGGATCTTGATCTCCTGCTCATGAGTGGATCCAAATTCCGGAAGAGAGGGAAAATGAGGGAAAAAAAAAAAGGAAGAGAATCCAACTATATACCCCACAATAAGATCGAATCCTGACAAAATATCTAATGTAGCCACTAAATTGTCCCTGATAGGAGAAAGTAGCCACAACGACTATCACAAGCAATTATTTATGATAATCAGATCAAAAGATAGTCCCATCTGTCACAATCAAAATACAGGGCTGTCAGCTTTGTTCAAAAGAGAGTCTATCTTTATTTAACCTAATGCGTTGCTCACATCTCTTTCAAACCCTAAACCTAGCAGTGGTGGGACAACGGTCAAATTTAATTCAAGTTTGAAATATTCACGTATTATAGAGATATATAATACACACACACATACATATGTGTGAGACAACGACTTTCTGGACTTGGATTCTACCAGCAAAGAGGAAGGCTAGGGGGAAAGCAAAGGGCATCAGAACCCTATCGAGCAGAAACAAAAACATAGAAACAAGAACAGGTTTGCAATATTTGCAGAGACTTAAAATAAGTTAGTTTCCTTTTATCCGCATCTGCATTTTTTCCCAAATGGCCACGCTTGCAAACAAATTATTCATTGCTAGGGTAAGATAATAAAATCGAACATGTGTTTCTGTATATGGTTTTTCCAGTGTATTTACTTCATGGCGCAAGAATATATCCACTTTTATCGTTTCAAAAACCTAATGCACTTATAATTCCTGACCCATTTACCCTCTTGGCATTTTTTCGGTTCTCCTAGCCAGGTGAAATGTTTGAGAATTTGCAGAATGGAAGGTTAGCATGGCACGAGTGGCTGGCTGCAGATTAGGTTATATGTCGAATAATTTGTTCATGGTTTATGTCGTTGTCTGTTAGCAATTCATGTTAGGAAAAAGAACACAGACGTCTGTCATTTCACTATCTCTTCCAAGAGTACATAAGCTTATTCTACCATTAATTCCATGAGAGTGAGATGAAGGATTTAGCTTGCAAGTAGCAAATTTAACCTTTTTTTCCTTATAGGGCAAGTGATCAAATTTAGCGAAAGTTATAACTTCATTTCTTTGTCATGTTTCATGTATAAGGAAAAGTAACTTTAATTTCCTCATTTATGTTTAATTATTATTATTATTATTATTTTTATATCCATGTTCTTTCAAGTTCAAGTATTTTATTGAAAGGGGTTTACCTTTCCTACTGTACTCTCTAATTATAATGCGAAACGAAAGATTTATTCCTACTTCCATGTCAATCATAGTCTGATATACACAAAGTTATTCATTAAAAACACGAAAGAAGAGGGAAAGAGTCCATTCATGTAAGAAGTACTCAAACATTTTCTTGTAATGCACTCCAAATCAGTAATTTGGATCTTAATTATTTGTTCTCGAAAATTTAGCTAGGAAGACGACATGAGAAAAAACATTCAGAAAAACATGAACTGAATATATATAAGAGAAGTAGAAAGTTATAAGCCATGTGAAAGAACAAGTAAACTGTCAATTATCCATGTCCTACGTGGGGCATTTAAAAACCCATCACCAAACATTCACCATTTTCTTACTGATTTGTTTGGACAATTTGTCCACACCTGATTGCTTTTGGAATCTCAAAATTTTCATTGATTCAGTGGCATATTGCCATGACATCCCATAATTTTGGGCCAGAAGTGTCACAGATTAACAGCTTGGGATTGTTTCACGGCAGTTTGATTAGATGCTAACAGTTTGATCTCACCTTAGACCAGAAGGAAAATGCTTTCCTTTCATCCCGAAGGTCCACTGCTGCATGTTACAGGCAGTGTGTACTTTTTGTTTTTCCCAAAATTCCAAAGCCAACAGGGGTGAAAACGGAGTTGTGAATTGAACAAACGCATCTAAGCCTTGAAAGATGGTTGGTGCATAATAATGCTTCACCCATTTTTACAAGTTGCCAATTTACCACACGACTTTTCACAAGAAGTTTGTCGATCAAAGCTAGATTTCATAGTCAAAGCACTTGAAACAATGCTTCAAAAAGAAAACGAATACTCGTAAACTCAACTATTATTTCACTTGACTATTGTTGCATGTATAAGATATTTAATCTTTGATAGGTTTGTTTCTAAGGTGATTCTTAAAGTGGTTTTTACTAATATTCAGTAGTATATTTTGCAATATTCAACCGAAAGGAAAAGAAGAAAAAAAAAAGGGGTCTTGACCAATCTTTCTTATTTAGCATAACATTACAGAGAATCTTCAAAACTCCTCTAGACTAACATGGATAACACCTTTTTTTTTAACAAGAAAAGTAAACTTACACAAGGATCCCGATATAAATAACCACTCCCCATAATCTGAACATCCTCACGCTATCAATTGAGTTACATCATATTATTATCATATTCAAAGTCTTCATTCATACTCTATTAATTGCATCGAATTTTAAATAAATTACTCCTTCAATTCACAGTCCGATAGAAACAAAAATGATAATATACTTAATTTAGGAGATATCTGATTTAATAATGTAATATAAATAGAGTGCTGTTAAGCCCACTCTAGTGTCTTATTTCCACACCCACTATAAAATGATACTCTTTTTGACAAATTTATCCTAGTATAAAATGACCTTTAAAGACCTAAAGACCAACCAATCATATCTTGCCACATAATTATTAGTTATATTGATTCTTTTTAAACAAATTATTAGTTATACAGTTTCCAAAAAAAAAAATTATTATTAGTTAGACTGATAAAATAAAAAAACCGAAAATATCATAAATAAGAAAAAGAACAAAATATCACGAACCCCACAAGCTTTCCTGGGGAAGGAAGTTCATAAATTAAACATATCAGGAAGAGGGTGAATTCGGACTTGACAAAGCAAAGCCTCAAGGCTCGCAATAAAGCGCATGTTGTGGAAGGTGTGATCAAGCTTCACCAAAGAGTAGAGCAAGTTAATCTTCAAGACTATTATAATGTTGAGATAGATGAGGAAAGAAGCTCATAGTCCAGATTACATTAGGGGACTCACGGATCCGACACTCGTTGATCTCCGATCGTGTTTGGTGTTTTGGAACAATTTGGATACCTACCATATACTGAATTTGGAGGAATTTGATGTTAGGGAAGGCCAGTGCAGCACCAAACTATGAGTGAAGCTCTTCCAATTTAATCACACTCTCTCTTGTGTGGTATGAATTCAAATTGGAAACTATAGAAATTGGGTACTAGAGCGGTTTTCGAGACGTGGTGGTGCTGCGATGGTTGGCGATAGAGGAGGGGCGCTTGGTGTTGGGGATTTGGGGAGTTGGTAGTGACAATTCTGGAAAGGGAAATTTTATTTAAACCCATGTAACCTATTTCTACACCCAACTTAGTCTTTGCACCCATTTGATTTTTAACTAAACTATTAATATCTCTTTAAACCCAATTTAATACCTAAAATACCCTCTTAAACCCAATTCAATATGTGGATTTATTTTTACACCCATTTGATTTTTAACTTTATCCTTACGCCGTCTGGAAATGGACACTGAGAATTGAGGTGTGAATTCAGTCATAGCTGACAATAAGACTGACATTTCTATAGATGTTGACAATATTTTGAAATCTTCTCCAGATATGATTCTTAGACAAATCCTGCGTAGACATCAAACTCTTATAACTGACCCCTTCAATGGCTTCCGTAAAAGCATTCTTCTGAACATCATTACATATTTCCTGTTCTTGCTTGATTTATAGGTGAATATAGGTTATGCATTGTGTCTTGAAAGCGAATCATCTGATTAGGTTCCATGGTAATTTGAAGAGTATATGTTGAATTTGATATTATTCTCATAGGAAGCCCTTGCTTAATGTCTCGTAGCCGCCGTTCGGTACTCTATCCAGAACGAAGGACATTGGTTTTATTTGCACTCTGTCAATTTTCTTTATAATATACGGTGTCTCACAGAAATGTTATTACATCTTTATTGACAGTAAGGCAGAAAAAGGTCATTCATACATTTGTGACATAGTGAGGATCATATCCGACGAAACCAAACTAGGATATAAAATTGCAATGAGCGAGCTAAAAGGGAAAATACGACCCATTTGGAATGCGGATATTGGGAGAAGGTTGCACACGTTAAATAATACGAATCATGGTCTGCAGTATGGTATAAGTTTGAAAAGTTGAATGAAGAAATCGTAATTCCGATCAAAAGCTATATTCCTAAAAACAACACCTCTCATAAATCATGATTACAGTGTGGATTGAGAGGAGGTGTCGAAAACGTGGTGGCATGGGAGATCGAGCCAGTTGGTGCACCATAAACCCCAAACTACATACAAAACCTTTCCGTTTATTCTCTCTTTATTGAGTATGCATATTATGGGTTTAGCTCCTATTAATTATGTAGGTTGGTATAATAACGTATAAGCGAATGGATCATAGGGTTTAAGTATTGACACACCCCGACCCCGCTATGTAGTAACTTTAATCGAGGGTCATATAGCTTGGCCGCGCGATCACAGTGGTGGCATACCAAAACATGTATAAACTACGAGACGATGAGTTCCAGTGTAGGCACAGTTCTGCAGTATCACAATAATAAACCAGATCATAGTATAGAGATCGGAATTAATGTGTGAGAAAAACGAAACTCAGTAAGTGAGCTAGCAATGTATAGTCCGTAACACACGTGGCGTGAATAGTGTGGAATACCACCATCAGAGGCGTAAGTAGGCCCTAAAGTTATTAGATACACCGAAAAACAACCATAGCATGCGATATCCTTAAAAAGTATAAACGATCGACCCTATAGCCCGAAATGTTGTTCACGTACATTTGTAAGATTGAGAGAATGTTGTTCAGAATATCGCGTCTACAATCGGTGTCACCTCACTCGAGTTAGTAGTCTGAGCCAGTACGGAACAAGGCTGCATGCATCATAATTTATCCTTAAGGAAGTGGGTGGTCCCGCCTGTTAAAGATCTAGAGCAGAGTCGGTGGGGCATTGCAGAAGGCTCTCGCTCATAAAGCTTCAGAACCATGTCATGTTTATCAAAAAGCTCTAAGCCCTCTCGGCAGACATTAAGAAGGCAATTTATCAGCAATGTTCCCCAATGGTAAATAAGAGCCGACAATAAAGACTTATTATAATACACATCAAAATATTTTACCTTATATTCGCAATATATTCATGCTACTATCGAAATTTTTCATTAATTAAAACTCTTCACGTGCCAATAATATATAAAACTAGATACTATTGCCATAAACTTTCCTAATGTAGATAGTTGGGAATGAGAATTTAATTCATGCGGGGAGAGTAAGATATAAACCAAATTTATAGACTCTAAAAACTCACACCAATGCGAGTCTGCCATTACGGTCACGTGAGATTTCATAGGCTTCGTTTTTAGTTCAAGCAGTGCTTCACATCGCTGGTGAATAGAGTTACAATAGCAAAACATTGTGACCAGTGATTTCGTCGAACTTCAAAGACTACCCCAAACAACTCCAACAAAATGAGATCGCCGAGTAAAAAGCCTCAATTCTGTAATAAGGACTTATACGAACTCAAAGAGTCTTTCGCATTGATGTGAAGGGTTGTTTCTTATAAGTAATGATATATGGCTTACTCTCTCATGTTACTAGTATTGTTGTTCCGAGTTTATAGATCGAAAAAGGGATGATCCTACGAAGTCTCGGAGAAGATTCTCAGCTCTCTTATGTATCTGCTATACGGATCTTGGTATAGAGAGTGCGTTAAGGACTTGATGGATAAAATCTCACAATTCCCAATGTCGCGCAGGCATCATGTGCCAGGAGTAGAAGTAGGGCGTTAGGCACATTATTATGCTCAGTGTCATTTGTGATATAAGTTCATCTCCGGCATATGAAATCCTTCACTATGCCGGCGACGTAGAAGGCGGCAAGGTTAATAGCTGCTCGCTATGCGTGACGATTATGCAATCTACAATTGTCGGTCGATCCTTATAATTCAGATGTTACAATCTCCACAAAATTCAATAAAACAACACAGTTGGGGTTACTGGAGCACCTAGCCTGCACACAAAAGCACAGTAAACTTGAAATCACCTAGCTTCCATTAGTGTACCTGGCAAAAACCATGGATTTCCAATGGCGACATATTTATATAAGT